AATTATAGTTAAGAATCTCAATGATGAGGTTAACCATTTGAAAAATACAGCTTTAAAGCAACAGAAGAAAATCCAATCTATACAACAGAAGCAAAAAAAGGTGGTGGGGGGAGCACAAAGAGCCCAACCACAATAATTACAATACATATAAATGGGTTAAACTCACCAATCTCAGGTTATAAAATCAGATCTAGAAAGTAGTCTATGAAGGGAAATGGAAGATTAAAGATAAAAGGAAGTAAAAAGATATAACAGAGGTACTATAAACCAAAAGAAAGTTAGAACTGCAATTTTAATAAGAACCAAATTAGAATTTCCTAAAATAGATTACTAAAAGATAAAAAATAATATTAAGGGTTTATAATAATAAAAATCTGATGATCAAAGGAACATTTGTATCCTGCAATATAGCCTTCAAATATATAAGTAAAAAACTGACAGAATTATAGGGAAAAATACATCAGCAATTCTTAAAAATTTTAAACACACATCTCTGAAAAACTGACATATTAATTGGACAAAAAATTAATAAAATTTAGATAATGAAAAATAACTTTAATACAGGTGATATAGAAACTGTATACCCAAAATGCAGAAGTTATACATTCTTTTCAAAAACACATAAGCATGGCGGCGCTCCCGCCGAGGGTTCGGATCCCATATACAGACCGGCTGCTCACTGGCTGAGCAAGGTGTGGGAGCAACACCGTGGGTTGTGATCCCGTTGCCAGTCACGAAAAAAGACAAAATGGAAAAAAAAAAAAAAAAACACATAAAACATTCAGAAATCTACCATGCGTTACACACCAAAGAAAAATTTGATATTTCTTCCTGAAACCTCACTTCAGATTATGTTTTCTGAACATAAAAATAAAACAATAACAATAAAGGGGTGCCTACAAAAAGTTCACATAGATATGAAAATTATATAACATTAAAAAATTTTGAATCAAGATGATGGAATAGACAGTCCCCAGCATCACTCTGTCCCACAAATGATCAATTTACAACTACTAAAAAGCTAAGACTGCCAACCAGGGACTGCTGGAGCTCAAGGAAAGAGGAGAAGAGATCCTCCGAGTTCATGAAGGCTGAAGAAGCTGCAGAGAAAAAAAGAGGAACCACAGTGAGAAGGAGAGAAACCACTGCAACAGTTTTGGTTCCCGGCTGCTTTGATGCTGGCCCCAGTGAGCACACAAGAGCAGGAGCTGGCAAAAGCTGCAGCTAAGCCCCTTGCCTGAGGTTGCTTGGAGTCTGCAGGGCCTTAGCATATAGCATACCAGTCCCCAGACCACAAAAACCACTGACAGGGTTACCGTGGACCCACATAGGAGCAAGGGGGGGCTCAGCCAACTGAAAATAGGAGCCAACCAGAGGCCAATGAGTTACTGAGGGGGATCAGTGCATGGCTGGGGATCAGTGGATGGCCCACCACATGGGAAGTATTTGGAATGTGGGTTGAGGCTGGCCCACCAGGAGAACATTGGGGTGCAGAATGGGCACCTGTTATGCCTTCCAATCAGCACAAACCCACTCAGTGGAGATTGGTCAGGGAGATAGAACTGCAGGGGGTGCAGTTTGCTGGAAAGACTCAGTTTCAGGCCAGAACTTCCACACAGTCCAGGTGTATCTGACCTTACAAGACCAGGAAGTGATTAAAAGGTCAACAGTGAAAACCTGAGCTGCCCAAAAAGCCTTCTCCAGATAATTAGCAGCAAAGCAGCAATTTAGCTCAACCACAAGGTTCAAGAGCTGGTCCCCACAGAAAGTTCCTCCATTTTTGTATTAACCAAAGAATAACAAATTAGTTCCAGTGCGGAGCTTAAGTAGTGGTGGTAGATAATAATACAAGACAGAACTGGAGAAAGAAGAGAAAATAAAAAACACAGACCAGTGACAAAGTTCTCATATTAACCAGGAAAGGTCTAACACCACCGAAGTACACCTATAAAACCTGGAAGCAGCCTCCTCAAATGTCTAGGCATCAGTGTAAAGACACAAAGATCAAGAAAGAACAGAGAAGAACAGAGAAATATCACAGCATTAAAGGCAAAAGCCAAGCACCATCAATGGACTCAGAGGAACAGCAGATTTATGAAATGTCTGACAGAGAATTCAGAATACACCTCTTAAAGATGTTTAGGGAGTCACAAGAAAACACAGATAGAAAATCAATTGATAACTGAAAAACAATCCAGAAGCAGAATGAGAAACTTGACAAAGGAATTAGATCAGTCTAAAAAAATCAAATGGAAATTCTAGAAATAAAGAATAAATTATCTGAACTGAAAAATTTGATAGAAAGCTCCAACAGCAGACTTAATCAAATAGAAGAATCAATGAGCTTAAAGATAAAATATGAAATTATCAAATCAGAGGAGAAAAAAGAATAAGAAAAAATGGAACAGAAATACAGAATATATGGAACTCCATCAAGCCAAATAACCTCCACATAACTGGTCTACCCAAA